CTATTTATTTGTATAATTGAATGAAATTTTTGTATATATAAAAATTTAAATATACTTGTACTGCACATTTTCTTGCTACTTCTGTTATTCTGTTTTTTTTAATTTTCATTTTATGTTTTTGGATTTTCTTTCATTGTATTTTCTTTCAGGGATATTGAAAACTTTAGGATTTTTTTTTTTTTGACCTATCAACTATGTTTAAATATAATAACAATAATAAGTAATTAATGGGTTTATATAACTATGTTATTTAAATGTATGTGTCGTGTATATACAATAGTTTTCTTTAAATTTAGTCACATTCTGGTTTTAACAGTTAATTCGGAAGATTTTTAAAATTACCTTTAAAATTATTATACCTAACATATACATAAGATTTTCCAAAAAAAATCTGTGCAATATTTTCTGATATGTGATAAAAAATGTAAAATTAGTCCGTAGCAAAAGTTCAGTTCCTGGGATGTTATATAATCTTAATTTCAGAAATGAGGATGGAAATTAAGTTGTTATACTGGTTGAGGACACTTAGACAAACAGACTAAAAAACCGCCATCTCTCAGAAATAGTTTATTATGTTGATTCTCTTTCACGGAGATATATCAACGACGTTCAAATCGACGTTCGACGAATTAAATATCGACGTTCAAATTTTGAAATAATTTACATGCATTCTTTTAGGAGCAGACACTTTTAAATTTTACATTTTTAAATTTTTTTTTTAAGAAAGTCTAACATCTTATCATAGTAAATCTGCTAATATTTTAGAAAACTTTTAAGCAAGTTACTTTTTCAAATGCACACCTACTTTGATTGCTACTTTTTTTTGATACATTTATTTTACATTAAAATAACATGTATACGCCGGGGCGTATTAAGAACGCGTGGTTTTTGTTGATTATATTACATACATAAAATAAAACATACCTACATATAGGCACAAATACCCATATGCTGTGTTTTTCTTTTCTTTTTTTGAATTTCTATTTTGTATTTTGTTATTTAATACTTGAATTTCTAGGTCAAACTATTAACTATATTGTATGCATATTATAATATATTTTTTACTAACTTATATTCTTGAAACGTAAACCATCATAAGTAATAAAACATAAGTGCATCTATACATTATGTTAGGTATATGAGCACATGGAAATTTAATTATAATATTATAATGGATGTTGGTTGAAAAAGAAAGTGAAAATAAATTTCAGAAATAGAAAATTGAAAATGTTTAAAAACATAAAACAAAAAAAATTAAATGATTCAATAAAAAGTTGTTAAAATGTTGGAACAATTTGTATGCACTTATGATTTTTATAAAGAAAATGGTTATTTAAAACAAAAAATTAATTTATATCAAAGTAATGGTTTACAAAGTAGCACATTTCTCTTGAATTAGTCTTATGACCATAAGTAAAATATGCAATTATATTACGCATGGAAATTGCAGCAAATATTAAAAAAGTGTTAACATAATAGTTGCATTCGATGGCCAATTAAGTGAGTAAATTCAAATAATTATTTTTTTGACGGTAAAATATTAATCTTTAAGTTTTTGCTTTTAAAGGCATTTAGAAGAGTTTACAGTTTCAGAAAAATAAAAATCTGAATACTGAAATTTTCCTAATTTTTAGAAAAGCGGCAACTGGGGAGGAATGATAAAAAATTATCCCTCGAGAAGTGGATTTCTCACAAAAATTCATTTCCGTATTAAATTTCAGCTTTTTATTTTAAATGGTGTCAAAATTGTGTAAAGAGATGCACGAACGGACCGAGAGACAAAGTGAAACTAACGCGTAAACATGTTTTTTTTCATGTTAAAAATGTGCGCTAATCCTAACTGTTTATCTTTATGCATATTGTATACAAATATTTCGCCAATAAATCAAAGTATGTTTACGGGTTTTAACCTACATAAATATATTCAGTAATTATCAATATATATCATAAGGTACCATACATATACACACATACATATTATATACTTATATAAAATGCTCATGTTAAATTCCATTTAACATGATTTTCCTTTATAACATATAATTATCATTAATAAATTGTTGCAAAAATAAATTTTCTATTAATTTCTAAATAAATTAACAATTTATAAAGAAAAAATTAATATTGTTTTGTTTTGATTATTTTTATGGGGAAAATTTTGTTGCGAAAATGTTGTAAAATTGCCATATAGAAAATTAAATAAAAACTACACAGTTTTTATGAATAGGAAAAATTGCTTATAGCTTTCAAATGTTTACAGTTTAGTATCCAATTCATTTTAATTTTTTAATCTCCATTCAGTTTTTTTTTATTTTTCATAATCTCTACTTTAAATACTTTCCTGTTGCATTATCTTACTATATATACGAGGATAATTAATGTGGAATTTTTTATATAGTAAAAAATTTTCAATAGTAGAATTCACATTATTTATTGGTAAACATAATTTGAAAGCACATTTGAATATTTCAATGTAATAGAAAATTAAATTGGAAAATTTCAATTGAATTCTATTTTAAATTCATAATAATCAAGCTTTGTACACGAATTATTACTTTATCGTAGAGAGTGTTCTCATTTTCTCCCTTATTGTATAGCAATATGGGCTGAGAAAATTTTTAAAGATTTCATTTTTCAATACAACATGTTAGATTTTACACCATAAAATAACAATTAACTATCTATACATGACAAACACATCGATATTTATATTTAAATTTTGATAGTTTTCCAATTGTTTCCAATTTTAGACAAAAATTACCTAATTTTTTATTAATTTAAAGAGTAAATTTTTAAATTAAAATTTCTTGTAGTTTCAGTTATTATGTAATTTTGTCATAGTTTCAGTTGTTATATAAATTCACCACAAAAATGTTTGACTTGTAAAATTTACAAGTTTTTGTATAATATTTTGTAAACACACCGACTTTTAACCTTTTGCTTCTATATTATGGGATTATTAGTTTTTAAATGGGGTTAACAAAAATTTAAATTTTCACACTTGTACATTTTAATATTTTATATTTTTTGTAAAATATAAAAATTTCTTAAGAATAACATGCAATATTAAAATTTATTTTTTTTTGGGGTTACATTTAATAATGTTATATTATATGTATATATAATGTAAAATAGCAAAAATTTAGGCTTTATACAACATCATGGTACATAATTGAATAAATTTTTAACGTTTTGCAAATATTGTATGGCATCTTAATATATAATGTTTTTTGTTTTTAAGTGTATAAAAATGTCAGAGATTTAACAATATTGTATACTGATTAAACCAAAATATATTTTTGTATGTTGAATATTTGAAAGTGTAAAGAATGTTAAGAAAAGCAATCGTTTATGATTATTACAAGGAAACGACAATAATTCCAATGTTTTTCGTTGTCAAAAATATTAGCTATGTGTTATTAAGAATATTAGCAAATATTAAGAAGTCCAATGTAATTTACACACTACATTATTATATTATATATATGCATTATTGAACACAATCTTATTAGAGCCGTTATATAACTATATAACGTTAAATAACTACATATATAATTATTTATTCTAAATATTAAGTTGACATTATATTTTTGAAATAATTGGAAATTTCATGAAAATAAAATATAATAAATTATATAGTCTATCAATATAATTAATATTTTAAACATATGTATACCACTTAACTAATTTTATTATATGTACCAACAAAATTTAACATACAAGTTATTCTATTGAGACTTAAAAGTCTAATTTAATTGCTAATTATGTTAGCATAAATAATTATTACCATAAAATTTACAAAAAAATTTAAAAAAACTGTGAAAGTTTGAATAATATCACTAAACATTTACTGTTTTACAATATTCATTATGACAATATAAAATTGCCAACTACCGTCGGATATAAAAGTTAGTAATTAACCGGAAAATTAAATTAATAATTAATGCGATTTTTTCTCTTACTTTTAATTGTATTTTGCTACATTGAGTTGTGTCATTTTATTTAAAACAAAAACATCTGTATTTAAAAAAAAAATCAAAGGAAATTCTCAATTTTTTTTATTTTTATTTTGATTGCTTTCATATTGTCTACTAAATTAGAAAATATATTATTAATATTGCTAATGAATAATGTATAATTCTGAACATAGCCATGCTATACTGTTCACAAGATAAGTGAAAATTTTAACTTATTTGACAATCAACATTAATGTCAAACAAAAATTATGTATTTAAAAAATTTTAACTAAAAAAATATAAATCACATTATTTATTATTATTAAACTTAAAAAAAACAGAATTATTTTTAAATAATATCATTTTAAAAATGTACAGGTTATGTATGTGTAGGAACAAGTGCAAGTTTATATTCATATATTGCATTATTCTATGTACTTATATAAGTATGTACAGCTTCATATATAATTTGCGTATTTGCCTATTAAAGCTATGTTGAATGTTCATTGTTTTTTAATATGCATAAATAATCAAGAATATATTATTAAAATTTCTTTAGATTTAGACCTCACTTAATGAAAAAAAATTTTAAAATACTTAAATAATTGAGCCGTAACCGATGCACATGCATTAAAAAAAAAATATACATATCAAGTGAAAAAATTCAGGTGATTATAGAAAACAAAATTCCATTCGTATATTGTAGATCCTCACAATATTTAAAAATATATTCATCGAAAAATTATTTTATTATTCCCCTTTCGACATTTTACTTATAAAAACTGAATTAATTAAAACCAAAAATGTTAAGCATCAGTTAACACAAAAGAACAACATTTTAATGTTTATTAACTACACAACATTAAAAAATATGTATTCAACAGCAATAATGCATTGAAAGTGCTACAATGTACTGCCAACCAAAAATTTAATACTTTTGATGAATGCATACATACATATTTGAAAATTAAACTTAATACAAAATTTACATTCTGGTAGAATAACTTTAAATTTTATATAATCAATCAGTATTTCCATTTTTAGCAAATAAATATACTTATGGAACAAATGTTGAACCGAAAGAAGCATATTTTAATGGATCAGCGTATATTCGATTACAGACTCCAATGCCAGTATGGAGTCATTCAGCGATTAGTTTTCGAACATGTAGAGGTAAGTTTTTTAAATTTTATTTTTTTTTATTTAAATATTTTTTTTAGTAGAACGGAACTTTTATTCCGACTCTTATCGATTTATCCATATTACTTAAAGATTAACAATAATATCACAATTATCGATTATTTACTTGTTAAATACTAAAAAATAATCGATATCACAAATATCGATTATTGTTTTACTATTTTCAAATTAAAATATTCTAAAAACATAATGCTGTTACTCATCTTAATTTTATAATCTCACGCCTGAGGGAGCTGAAGTTATGAAAATAGTTTTATTTTCTTAACAGTAAATGTCTTTTATTATTGTCTAAAATAAACTTCAAATCATTAATAAAATAAATGAGAAATGTAAAAAAATTTTATTGATTTTTAAAAATTTAAATTTGTTTTTTTTTTTTTAATTTTTAGGAGGAGAAATCTTTACACAACAATATAATAAACACTCTTTATCGATGAGTGTTCATAATAATTATATTAGCGTAATTTTATCAGTTCCGCCAAGTTCAAAATACGAAGCAAGAGTTGATACACAATTGCTGGACAATAAATGGCATAATGTGGAATTTCTTTATCAATATGGAAATTTATATTTAATTATTGATAGAGAAAGTACAATTATAGGTAAAAAAACATAAAATCATTTATCATTTTATATTTTCAACTAATTCATTTAAAATTTTACATCTCTTTTATAGCTAATTCAACTTTTAATACCCCATTTTTAACAAACGAAGAAGTACGAAATGAAGCGGCTATATTAATTTTAGGACAAACCTATCAAGGTTGTTTATTACATGGACCGGGGCTATTATTTAATACAAGTGCAATGCATGCCCAAAATGTTTTATTTACATCATGTCCGTTAGCACCAGGTGAATGCGGTGATCATGATATATTAATTGAAAATACAATTGATTATTGTGCAAATGAACCATGTTTTCAACATGGTGAATGTTTTTCAAGACAAGATCGTTATGAATGTCATTGTTATCCAAGATTTTCTGGTAAAAATTGTCAAATTGATATGGGTGATCCATGCTTATCATATCCATGTAAAAATAGCGGTTCATGTATTGAAGATAAACATGGTAATTATCAATGTCAATGTCAACCAAATTTTACTGGTGAATATTGTGAAATTGAAATGAATCCTCATGGAGCTTGTGATAATTATTATTGTCAAAATAATGGTACATGTAGAATATTACCAACTGGGAAAGCTGAATGTTATTGTTTAAAAGGTTTCACGGGTTCACATTGTGAAACAAATATTAATGATTGTGAATCGAAACCATGTTTTAATAATGGTATTTGTATTGATCAAATAAATGGTTATAAATGTAATTGCACAAACACTGGATTCCATGGAAATCATTGTGAATATGATGAAGATGAATGTATTGGAAAAAATCCATGTAAAAATGGTGGAATTTGTTATAATAATTATGGATCATACACATGTATATGTCCATCTGGTTATGGTGGTGTTAATTGTGATCAGGTGATAAATCAATGTAAATTTGAACCATGTAAAAATAATGGTGCATGTCAATCAACAAATGGTGAATTGAAATGTCTTTGCCCATCTGGTTATACTGGAAAATTTTGTGAAGTAGGACCAGCATGTCCACAATGTCCACCAGATGCAGATTGTATTGGTGGAAAATGTATTTGTAAACCGGGAACTACTGGTAAGAATTTCTTTGCTTCAGTTATATGAAGTATACTAAATACGCCAATCATGGTTTTATTCGTACTTTTTAGGAAGTCACTGTGAAACATTATCATCTGCAATGGCTGATATACCACCACGAAGTGGCGGATGTGTTTGTATGAATGGTGGTACATGCTCACCAAATGGAACTCATTGTTATTGCCCTTCTGGATTTGAGGGTGCAAGATGTGAACGTCTTGAACCATGCAGTCCAAATAATTGTCGTGAACCAATGACATGTTCAAATGGAAAATGTATTTGTTTACAAGGTAGAAATTGTCTACCATGTAAAAGTAATCCATGTTTAAATGGTGGCAATTGTAAAACAAATGGTTTAAGTTATGAATGTATTTGTCCAGAAGGATGGAATGGTACAAATTGTGAAATTGATATCGACGAATGTGCTGATAAAACGGTGTGCGGTAATGGAATTTGTGTTAATCAAATGGGTACATTTAAATGCTATTGTGAACCGGGTTTTACTGGACTGAGATGTGATTCAGATGTTGATGAATGTTTAAGTCAACCTTGTAAAAATGGTGCAACATGTATGAATAGAGTATGTATAAAAAAAATTTGATCCATTTTTCTTAATCAAATATTTTAATCAATTTAACCCTTTTAAATTATAGTATGTACCAAACTTTGAAAAGGGTTAAAAAGATTAAATTATGTCAATATATACATTTTCGTTTTTTATATATATATATATCTGTATATATCTATATATTATATTTTAAATGTTAGATATTTTTTTACAAAATCGGAAAGCATAGAAAAATTTTAAAGGAAGTAAGTAATTCAAGACATTCTTCAGCTTCCTATAAAAAACTTAATGTATTGCTATAGTATATTTTTGTAAACATACATACATATATATAGTTGTAAAATTGATTTTTTTTTGTAATTTATTCAAGACATATTAAGGCTTAGAAAAAATTTCATTTTACATAATTTTTTTTTTGTGAAAATTTTCTTTGCAAAAATAAACACTTAGCTTTTAAATATCTCATAATATTAATTTCTTTTAAAGCATCAATCATTTGGAAAATTAATTGGAACTAAAATATGGGTAATAATATTTAGAATAGTGCTTGATTGAAAAAGTCAACCTTATAATATATAAAAACAATCGCTTGTATATACATATCCAATTGAACCCAAAATATTTCTTTAATAACTATTTAAAATATTAAATATAAATTGAAGAAATTACAAGGGAATGTTCACTTCAGTATCCCGACCATTTGGTCTGGAACTAAATTGCTTTGCTTTATGTAGCAAGCGCATTAATCACAATAAAGTGGTGCAAGTTCTGGGTTTCCAACTTTGTTTCTAGTGAAAACCATACAAAATTTTTACCACCATAGTCAGCTTCAAAACAAAGATTTTTCTTAATAAATTATGTACGTTAAAATAAATTCTAATAAAGAAGAAGTTGAGTTTATCAGCATAACAACACTTTCCTTAAAAATAAATCCTATTGTACGTAACTGTTTGATTAAACAACAACTTCAAATTTCATACCCTGCTTAGTTTGCTGTAGAATTTGTCGTAGAAAAAAGTTAGGAACCGAAAATAAGCATATGGTTAGAATAGATTTTAAATTTTAATTTAGTATTTACCTTTAGAGCTAGTGTAAATTATTATCTATGTAAATGTAACGCTACTTTACATAATTCTAAGACATCTTACAAAGGTAATGAAATTTTAATTTTTGTTTTTTAATAAAAAGGTTAATGATTTTGAGTGTGTATGTCCACCTGGCTTTGAAGGAAAAGATTGTGGTGTTGATATAGATGAATGTAAAAGTAATCCTTGTTCAAAAGGATCAACTTGTCATAATGTTGTTGGAAATTTCTCATGTACATGCATACCAGGTAATTATAATATATTGCATATCGTTACAAAACTAAATTATCTAAAATACGTAAAACAAAATTTTAAAATATCATATTTTTTTTAACTTTCAGGTATGACAGGAAGATTTTGTGAAACAGATATTGATGATTGTGAATCATCACCATGCCAAAATAATGGTCGTTGCGTTGATCAATTAGATGGTTTTATATGTGATTGTACAGCAACCGGTTATAATGGGACACTTTGTGAACATAATATCAATGAATGCCTATCTAATCCATGCTTAAATGGTGCAACATGTATAGATAAAGTTAATGATTATCAATGTAATTGTTATAGCGGTTATACTGGTAAAAATTGTCAAATTGATATAAATGAGTGTGAGAGTAGTCCTTGTAAACATAATGGAACATGTCTCGAAAGATCAAATTTAACACTATATGATATGGCTGATAAAAGTAATCTCCCAAGTATATTTAGTGACGAGTTTTCTTATGAAAATGCGAGCGGGTAAACTAATAAATTTCATAAATTTTAGGAAATTAATTTAAATATCTTTTTGTTTGTAGTTATGAGTGTATATGTGTCACTGGTATAATGGGACAGAACTGTGAAATTAATATTAATGAATGTGAAAGTAATCCTTGTACTAAATATGGTACATGTGTTGATAGTGTAGGTTCACATTTTTTTAAGGCATTGAATCGTTTAATAAAAAAAATTAATAATGTTTTCAGATTGGAAACTATACATGTGAATGTGAACCAGGTTATGATGGTCTTCATTGTGAAACAGATATAAACGAATGCGATAGGTAAATTTTAAAATAAAATGTATTTGAACGTAATACAAACATGTATATAATTAATAGAACTAAATGTATCCTACTTTTAATAATTCTTACTTCTGAGTCGAATTAAATTTTATACAATTTTAGGTATAAACCTTGTCTGAAGGGTACATGTGTTGATCATATCAATGATTATTTTTGTGATTGCGATGATATGTTTGGTGGTAAAAATTGTTCAGTACCATTAACTGGTTGCGATAATTCACCATGCATGAATGGTGGCTCATGTAAACCATATTTAAAAGAAGAAGAAATTCATGCATACAATTGTTCATGTCCACATGGTTTTCAAGGTGAAACATGTGAAAAAATTACAACAATGTCATTAGTAAAAAATAGTTTAATTACTGTGAATACATCACGAGATGAAGGATATGATATAACATTAGAATTTAAAACAACATTACCGAATGGAATTTTAGCGTTTGGTAAAGCGGCTCATCATAGTTATATTTTAGAATTAGTTGAAGGAAGATTAAATTTACATTCACCGTTGTTAAATAAATGGGAAGGTGTATTTATTGGTTCCGGATTAAATGATAGTAAATGGCAAAAAGTTTTCGTTCAAATTAATTCATCTCACTTGGTGTTGTCAGCAAATCAAGAACAAACAATTTATCCAATAATTTCATACGAAAGTAAAACACCAACATTTCCCGTTACATATTTAGGAGGAACAATACCAAATTTAAGCTCATATCTACGACATTTAACACATCATCCAACTAGTTTTGTTGGTTGTATGCAAGACGTAATAATAAATGGCAAATGGATTTTCCCCAAAGAACATATTAACGAAACATATTTGACAAATATTAATAGTGGATGCCCAAGAACTGAACAATGTAAACCAAATCCATGCTATTCTAATGGACAATGCAAGGATTTATGGTATAAGTTTGAATGTACTTGTCAAAGACCACATTTAGGTCATACATGCAAATATAACTTTACTGCTGCCACATTTGGACATGAAAATACAACAAGATCGGTTGTTACAGTACAAGCTACTGAAAACTCTAGGAAAGCAATTAAGTCTATTTTGGATATATCAATGTTTATTAAAACAAGACAAGCATATGGAGAAATTTTCTATCTTGGAAGTGAACCATCAAAAACTACATTTGGAAATGATTATGGAAACTCATTTGTATCAGCCAAACTTTTACATGGAGAACTTCTTGTAAAAATGCAATTTAATGGTACACCCACTCCCGAATCATATACAGTTGGTGGAAGTGTCTTAGACAATGGTTACAATCATTTGATTCAAGTTATCAGAAATCAAACTTTGGTACAAGTGAAAATTAATGGAACTGAATATTTTAGAAAAACATTGTCTTCAACTGGATCATTAGATGCCCAAATGCTCTATTTAGGTGGACCACCACCGAGAATTGATGAATCTGAGTTAGGAAAAGAAGAGAAAGAAGACAGTAAAGATTATTTCAAAGGTATTATACAAGATGTCGAAATAAGCAATGGGTCTTATGAAATGGCAGTTCAAATATTCCCACTCGACGAAGATAAAGACAACTTAGATGTTCCACCACCATTCGGTTTAGTTTCATTCAATGAAAGCTCAATTTTAAAAGGTGAAGTTTCTGATGATCTTTGTCGAACTATGCCATGTCAACATAATGCAAATTGTCGCAATACTTGGAACGATTTTGAATGTGATTGCCCTAAGGGATATAAAGGAAAATCATGTCAAGACATACAATTTTGTGAAATCAGTAATTGTCCTGGAAATTCAACATGTAAAAATTTGGATTCTGGTTTTGAGTGCATAACAAATACAACTTTTCAAGGAAATGAAAGAAATCCACTGTCATATGCATTCTTTGCGAAAGATTATGGAAATGGAAATGAAGTTGATGAAGAAGTGATAAGGCCAATAATTGATATAGCATACAGAACAAAAACTGGTGGCACATTATTTTATGTTCAAGATGGTGAACGATATTTCCAAGTTGCAGTGTATAAAGAGCAAGTTACTGTACAATGGAGATTATCTCTTGATTTGCCAGAAGTTAAAAGATTCAAATCAGATAATTCATATATGGGTTGGAATAGAATATTTATTCGATCACAAGATGGAACATTAGAAGGCGGTTGGAAAGGTTGGGAGCTTGAGGAACCATCTCCAGCTTTTAGAGCCAAAGTCGATCAAAGTGGTCTGAAAGAACTATTTTCCGGAAAGCATTTAATTTATTTGGGCGGAGTACCACCACAACAAGAAAATACTGTACAAAAGGAAACTGAAATTGGCGCAATTTTTAAAGGTTGTCTCGGAGAAGCTAGAGTTGGAAATTTCCTTTTACCGTACTTTGAATATTATGAAATTTATAAAGACAATAATGTACAACCAAGAGATCACTTTAGACTAAATTCAACAAAGCCTCATGAAGGATGCATTTTATGCTTCCAAAATGATTGTAAAAATAATGGTTACTGTATGAATCCCTCTGAACAATACGCTTGTACATGTATGGCTGGTTACGAGGGTGAAGATTGCTCGCAAAATATTAATGAATGTTTAAATGCTGAGTGTCAAAATAATTCAACTTGTATCGACGGCATTGCTGAATACACTTGTGCTTGCATGCCTGGTTATGAAGGAGATCGTTGTGAGCATGAAATCGACGAATGTGCATCCATGCCATGTCACAATGGCGGTACGTGTACAGATATGATAGCAGAGTTTCATTGCCAATGTCCAGAAGAGTATGCTGGTCCACAATGTGATGTATTAAAATTAGTGACATGCGAAAATAACCCATGTAAAAATGGTTCGACTTGCATTGACGGATTCAGTAAGTTGGATAGCATTGAAAAAATGTTTATGTTTTAATTCAAATTTATATTTTTGATAGATGCTACTACTGGAAATAATTTTACATGTGAATGCACACCAGGAATGATTGGATTTTTATGTGATACAGCGTTTTGCACGGTTGAGCCATGCAAAAATGGCGGCTTTTGCTTATTTAGCGAAGTTTCTGTAAGAAATTGTTTAAATGAATATTTTTAATTCTTATGATTTTACAATTTTAGCAACCACCAATTTGTCAATGCAGTATTGGATATGAAGGAAAATTTTGTGAAACAGATATAGATGAATGTGCTTCTCAACCATGTCAAAATGGAGGTTATTGTGAAAATCTTATTGGAAAATTTGAATGCCATTGCAATGGCACTGGTTTTGAAGGACCAGTATGTGAAACAGATATTGATGAATGTATGACTAGATCTATAGACTGTGGCGGTAAAGGTATATGTATTAATACTAGAGGTTCATATAAATGTCAATGTGAAAGAGGCCTTTGTGGATCACAATGTAGCTTTAAAGATTTATGTATTTTGGAATCAAATATTTGCTCAAATAATGGTATCTGCGTTGAGGATTGCAAAGATTATCCAGATTTTTATTGTAATTGTAGTGAAGGTTTTACAGGAAAAAATTGTTCTGAACCGGTAAATTTTCATATTTTACATAATTATGCAATGTTTTATATATAAACTAGGTGAAAATATTAATTAATAAAAATTTTAAAATTATTATAGGTTGTTTTAGAACAAGAAGGACCTTCAACAGCAGATGTTGCATTAATAGTTGTTCCAATTGTTGTTATATTATTAATTGCTGGAATTGCTTTATTAAGTGCCTTTATAGTTATGGCACGTAACAAACGTGCTACAAGAGGGACATATAGTCCAAGTGCTCAGGAATATTGTAATCCTAGATTAGAAATGGATAATGTACTTAAACCACCACCAGAAGAACGATTAATATGATAAACTTATGACTTAATAAATTTTTTTTTTTTAGTAGTAATTTAGTATTTTATACTTAAGTTAAATTAATAAGTTATAATTTAATATAAAACAAAAAAATGTAATAAAAACAATATTATTAAAAAAAAAATAAAAACTTACCTAACTCAAAATTAATATACATATAAAGAAAAATTACATTCCATTAAAAGTATATGTATTTATTTTACTCAAAACTTATGTTAACTAGGATGTAATTATTAGTTTATTATTATTCCATTAATTTTTAGTTTATTTATTTTATACTTTTTTTTTTATAATTTTACCTCTTATCAGCTAACTTTTATATAGATTTCAAATTTAGATATTAAATCATTTTTCAAAATGGAAATAAGAAAATATTTGAAAAAATTGTTTTCTTTAAGTTTCAGTTTTGAACTACATATAATATAATAAACTTAAAGCTATAATGAATAGCTATTACGTTTATTAACTCATTTATATTTTGATATTTTTAAAAAATCATTATTTGGTGTGACTTAATATATCATAATAATAATTATTTTTATATTAATTATTACTTATATAGAATTAAAAAAAAAAACATTTTTATATTATAATTTTAATCATGTATAATTTAATTAAATTCAAACAAATAATATAATTTACACTATGTATGATTAAAAATATATTAACATTTTTACCTTTCCTATTTAGAAACTTTTTTTAAAATCATACATAATAAATGACTGAAATGTGAAAAGAAAATTTTAGGAAAAAAAACAAATTCTTAAAACTCGTTGCACTTTTAAGTTAAATTAAGAAGTATGGAATATGAGGAAGGAAACTAAGATTTATAAATTTTTTTATATATTTTGGCTTACAAATTTCAAAAATTACTAACCTACGATGTCATATATTTAAAATTAGCATGAAATTATTTTGAAAAATCTAGTTACAAAATAAAAATGTAATTTAATTAAATATTATGTTTGCGCACAAAATAAAAATTAAATATTATTTTATTTTTTTCGGGAATTTTAATCAGGATCAGTCAAAGGATTATTAAAAATTATTCCTAATTATTTTTTAAATTTTAATCATATACATACATACAAAAATATGACTATACTAGAAAATTATAATTATAATTATTAAATTGAATTAAATTAAGAAAATTTATTCTTGATTTTTAATTTCATATATATTATGAATTTAATTTAACTTAATGTGCAACATGAATAATTTTGTGCCTCAAAATCAATTCTAGAAAAAAAAATTTATATAAAAAAATAAATAATATTATAAAATATAAACTACGTAAACTTTCACATAATTATACATACATTTAATCGTATTTCATAAATGTGCTCTGAACTTTACATAAAAAAATTAACTAAAATAATATTTGTAAAATTAACTAAATAATATAAGTATGAATTACACTATTTTTAATTTAAATATATTTAGAATATAATGTGATAATTTATAAATCTTAAATATTAATTTAAAGAAAAAAAAAACAGCAAAATAAAACAAATTAATTCAATTGAATTTATTAAAAAACAAAAACAAAAAAAAAAACAAAATTTTTCGAAAAACATATGAAAGCATGCCAAAGCAATAAATTGTTATAGAAAAATTTTATCATGAGCTAATTAAAAAACTAATAAAATATATGATAATAACGATATGAAATGATACAAAGTATTACTAAATAAAATTCATATATTTCTGCATGTAAATCAATTTAATATTTAATAGCTTTGAAATTTCAAAAGATTAGACAAAGGCCTTATTGCACCAATCGTATTTTTATTTTTCCAATCAAAAATTTTGCAAGGTTTGAGGTTGGCTCAATAGGGCTCAATAGGCCATAGGGTTAATTCAATAGGGTCGATGTAATTGCAATTGCTTTAAAATGGTCTCCTTCCAAATTTTCAAAATATCTTTGTGTGTAATTTAAAAAACCAAACATTATGACTATTACTTTTGAATGTTATTAATTCCTTATAAAATTTGATTACGTACTAATTAAAATTAATGCGTAGTAATCAAATTTTATGAGGTAATTTCGATCTAAAATTATTTTACATAATATATTCATTTCATATCATTGAAAATAGAAAAATATATACATATTATATAAATATACCAATAACATTTTGCTCATTTAAATAAAACATTTCTTTTTTTTTTTATAATAAAAAATTAATATTAAATTTAAAATTAGAAAATTACCATGTTTGCCTTATTGTAATTCTGAAATAAAACACAAAAACCGTCCAACTAGGAAAAAAAAAGAGACAAAAAAAAAAGAACGAAAACTTTGTAAATAAATAAATTTTAGGTATTTGAAAAACTTTATAATACTATTAAATTTATGCAAAAATATTTAATAAATTGAAAAAAAAAAAAATATAAATATATAAGGAAATAATAAACAAAATAAAACTTTTGTTTCATTTGAACTGTTTACTTTATACTCGTATCCATAAAATCCGAAAAGAATTAAAAATTATTTAAAATTATAATCGATACACTCATGGAAGGACACTCACATTGTCTTATAACGTATCACCCTAGGCGATAGAAGATTATATATAAGAATATTGTAATTTCTAGATTAAAATCAATTTCGACGTCATTTTAAATTTTATATTAAAAATAAGCGCATATATATGTCCTATTTAATAAGAGTAATGCAAGTCAAATTTTTCGGGTATAATTTAAGGAGAAACTAAAAAAGACACATAAAATTGAACTATAAAGAGATAAACAATAAATTATTTCGTTACTATAAAAAGACCCCAGCATCAACATATAAAACATATATAAAAAATAAAATAATTTTCGGGTAAATAAAAATTACATCTCATTTCACTTTGCAAATCTAAATTGTATTTTCTCTTAAATTCACTTAATATATAGTAGAAAAACAAAAACGCATATTATTTATATTATGGCAAGTAAAATTTTAAAAAACAATTAAATTAATATGTTTTTATTTATTAATTTTTTATTTATTTCTTGTGTTGAATAATTCTGCATAATAATTTTTTTGTTTTCTTTCTACATATGACTTTCATAATTTAAATTTTTAATATTCTTACCTAAATTTTTTAAAAATTTTATTTCATTGTGTGTTAAAACTAACTTCCATTACGGGGATACATTGTTATTTGTTTTAAGTTTTATTTTTTTTTTCCTTTTTTTTTTTTTTTAATTTACTGGTTTCTTCTACAACTTTGAAATATTTAAATAAATATTTTATTTAAAATAACCTAAAGCTAAAGATTTATTTTCAATTTTCCAATTGCAATTTCCTTTTTTATTTTTTTTTTTTTTTGTTTTATCTAATATAAATACAAGTCTGCAAATACAGTACATATATTTAAATATATTGATAAATTTATACATATTATATTTGATACTACAAACAAAATATTAATTAATTAGGCATTCGATGCAACCCATTTGAATTTGTCTTTTAGATTTGGTATCTCATGATGATAAAAATTACATTCAATTTTATTTAAACAATTTTTTCCAAATCTACATAGTTTTGGATGATAGAATGTGCAATTTGTATTAGAACAATTTGGATAATATTTACACATTGTTGGAAGTGGTGTTGTTGTGATTGTTTTGTAATTTTGAACCGGAACAACGTGAGATGCTGAAATGAAGTGAATATAAAATATTTTATTAAATAAAATTTATATTTTATATTATGTATATATATACTTACATAATGGTGGTGCCACTTGCGGTGCTGACATCACAATGCTATGTGTAAAATTACAATCATTTCTTTGACACGCTAAATCAAATTTACATTTTGGATGTATAAAAAGGCATTTATCGGCAAAATATTTGCAATTAGGAAATGATTTGCATAATGCTGATGGATGAAAAAATTCACAATCTCCATTACTACATAGTGGGAAAAATTTACATCTTTCTTTTGGTTTTGGTTTTAAAGCATTTTTAATAGGAACAGCTGATACTAAAAATAAACAACATACATATGTATATAGATTAACAATTAAAGAATGACTTATAAAGCACAAAAAAAAACAAAAACTGGATTTAACTTACGTTCCGGAATTTTTTCATATTTCTTAACAATTTCCATTTTTTTAGTAGAAACTTTTCTACCTTCTTCATTTGACTTTAATGATTTTTCATGATTATCATCTAAATCGTCTATCTTATTTGTCGGTGTTATTGAAATTCTTTTTCTCTTTGGTGGACTTCTTTTATTTTCTGTATTTTCACCTGCGATAAAATCTTCAAGTGGTGGAGTGAGTGATTTATCAAAATCATTTTCACCAACTTCCCTAGTATTAGCATGCCTTCTTTTAATTTCTTTGCTATTTTTATTTGTTACAAGTCCATGTCTTTCAGCATTATTTCTTTCAGCCAATTTTTTATCTTTTATTTTTTTAGCCAGAAGTTGCAATCTATCAGGTTTATCAGTATTAGTTCCTTTTTCTGAGACTGGTTTATTTTTTGGGTCTTTAAATTTTGCACTTTGTGGTAGTTTTAAACTTGGTTCATTTATTTTAGTCGAGTACTTTTTGCCATATTTATCATTTTTTTCTAAAATCAAAAATGATTTTAAATTTAAACTCTATTGCTCAAAAATTCTTTTAAATAACTTACCATTCATAGTAACAACAAATTGAGTGTTGCTGGAATCTATTTCGACATCGTTTTCGTATTTATCAAAGTAAATGTCATCATCTTCATCGCCAAATTCATTATTTATAGTTCTTGGCACGTAAACATAATCATTATTATCGGAATCTCCGCGATCTGAAATAGGTTCTGGTACATATTCTTCTCCATCCCTCTCACTACTTTGATGCCTTCTTTTATCATTCGAAACAAATTTAGAATTTACTTCAATAACTATATTACTCTTATTTCGTTTTATAACATCGTTCCTATTTCTATCGCGAAATGATTTACTGTAAAGTTTATGATTTCTTTTATTATCAGGTGAAGATGATTTACGCCGTATTTTTGCATCTGAACGCAAAATTGTTGATCGTTGTGCTTCAGCTACAGCTCTTAATAACAAATTCTTACAGGCTTGCCTTCTTGGAGAAACATTTGGTCTTGGTTTAATTTTTATAATAGAATTGAGTGGCTTGTCATCTTCTTCCTCATTTTCTGAATTCGAAGTATGTTTGGATGCAGCTACAATTACACGTGATACGAGTCTACCCCTTTCCATTGAACTTGAAGCTCTATTTGGAGAATGATTTTCAACTTCTCTTTCCTTGCTTATTTTTATTTTATTTTGTAGATTTTCAATATCTGGTTGCGAAGAAGACAGTTTGCTAGAATTATCAAAAGATTTTTGAATTCTTAAACCTAAACGTTCATGTACTGATTTTCTTTTAAGAATTTCTTCCCGATTATTGTCTTTTTCGACTGGCTTTTGAATAATTTTATTATCTTGAATTTTCCGATTCAAGGATATTTCAATTTCCCGCTCATTTCTTCGCTGAGGGGGCAAATAAATTATAGGTTCACGTTTCTTATTATCCTTATTGTTGGCAGTCTTATTTTTAATATCACTTTCATTTTCAGTATCTCGTTCAAAAACGACAGGACTTTTTCTTTTTTTATTTTTATTTAAATTCATGTTTGGATGAGTTTCTTTATTTTCAAAATCATCGAACTCATCGCCATCTTCTTTCAAGTTTAGAAAGTCTTCATCTTCGCTTTCATCTAATTCATCAAAATTTTTCAATTGACGTTTTGCTTGATATATTTTTTTTTGGATTTCTGCCAACTCCGCTAAATCTTGTTCTCTTTTTTTACTCACATTATTAGCGTTATTATTTTCTTGAATTTCTGTTATGGTTGGAATATCAAATTCGTTAGGAGTATTATTTTCTGAATTAGATTTGGAAGAATGTGATTTCATGGAGTGCGAAACAGGTTTTTCTCTCTTTTTTACAATAGATGTATCAATTGGAAGAGTACTTTTAGCCTTCTCTAATAAATGATCCGCGAATACATCAGTGATTGCTGGAGGAGGTGTTGTCCTTTCTTCTGCTTTTTCTGAAGATTTTTTATTTTTCTTCTCTTTCTTATGCTCTTTTTTATCGCGTTTTGAAATTGATTTATCCTCACTTCCGGAGGCTTTTCTTTTTGTTTCCTTACGTACAACCGCTGAAAAACATAAGAGCTATCAATATTTAATTTATATACATATTTCCAAACACAACTTTTTTAGTTATTTACATAGTGTCAAATAATTGTTAAAAACCAATATTTAAACATATTTATTAGAATAAAGCAAACAAATACTTATTTAAAAATATTTTGAAATAAAATCTTACGATTAGGTGGCAATGTTACTTCCTGAAGTTTCTGTAGTACTTCGTATAACCAAGTGACAAAGAGCTCGGTATTTTCACCCAAAAATAAATTCAAATCTGATATCATTTGTTGCTTAGAACGTTTATTTGCTACCATAATCATAACATAATCAGGCAATTCATCATCAATATATCCTCCTCCACTACCCAGTTCAATGAGTTTAGCTTTTACTGCACACTGAAATTGAAAATTCAAAGTGCATAACTTTCTCGGTACTAATTAACTACGAAAACTTACTCTCATTTTCTGGCCAACTTCTGAACCTAAATTATCCATTTTAATTTTAAAATATGATTTAATTCTATCTGAATAAAAACTTTAATTATAATTTAATTTCCAATAAAATCAAACGAAAATGACCATAATCCAGGCCAAATTATTTCTGACTTTTATTGACGTTTAATTTAAGTGACATTCGCTTTGACATTTGAATGTCAAAAAAAATGACAACTTATGCATCCATTTACATGAAATTTTAATGAAAATTTAAAAAGTTGAAACGGTAAAAAGGTTGGGCTGTCTTTTATATCGTCATAACGATAACTTTGTTGATATTTATATGCAAAATAAAAACTATGAAAACAACAAAAAAATGATTGTTGTTACTTTTTAGGCGGTAGATCAGTATTTTTTTTTAATTTTATTTAAAAATAATTTTATAGAAATAATATGTCAATAACTCTGAAAAGTTCAGTGTTTTGTAAACCAACAGATTTAAACTTGAGGTAAAATTAAAAATTCAAGAATTGTAGATTCAGAAAAGATGCTAATCAGGGAAACAATTTACATGCATAATTACAAAAATACACAAATTTGAAAAGTTTGTTATAATTGTTAAAGTTATTAATTTCTAGATTGACTTTACTTGGAGGACAAAGTTTTCGTTGGAAAGAAATAAAAGACTCTGCTTTTGTTGGAACTTTTAGAGGAAAAATATGGAAATTGAAAATGTTACCCGAATGTAACAAGTTGGAATACGAGGTTTTCTATGAAAACAAAAGTGGTGATTGTATTGCAGAAAAAGATTTCAATAACATGATAAGTAATTATTTTCGATTAAATTTCGATCTTGAGGCATACTACAAAATTTGGAGGAAAAATCATAGCCATTTTAACGAAACTTCAAAGCAAATAAAAGCAGTGAGAGTTCTTGACCAGGAACCTTTTGAAAATATAATTTCATTTATATGTAGCCAGAATAATAATATTACAAGGTAGGTTATTTAATAAAAAGAAAAATCAAATTGCTGAATAATTATACATTTCTAGAATCTCATTAATGGTTCAAACATTGTGTAAATTATTTGGTAATAGAATAGGCTCTTATGATAAAAGAGACTTTTTTTCATTCCCTACAATAGAAGCGCTTGCAACTGTAGAAAATTTAGAAGATACTTTAAGGAAAGAAAAATTTGGGTATAGAGCAAAAATGATATCAAATGCCGTTAAACAAATTCTTAATAAAGGTGGAGAAATATGGTTTGAAAAATTAAAGGTACAGTAGTAAGTCAATATTTAATAAAATCTTATTGGTGAATGCCATAACTGAAGTCATCGTTTTCAGTTAATGGAATACAAAATTGCTAAAGAAGAACTTTTAACAGTATCTGGGATTGGTCCAAAAGTTGCTGATTGTATATGTTTGATGTCCTTAGGAAAATTGGAATCAGTTCCAATTGATAGACATATTTTCAAAATAGCGCAAGATCACTATATGCCAGAATTAAAAAAAGTTAAACTTAGTCCAAAGCAATATGAACTAGTTGCAAAAATGTACAGGGAAACATACGGGGAATATGCTGGATGGGCTCAAGCTGTTTTATTTTGTTCTGGTATTCAAAAATAATTTTTGGAATAAAACATATTTTTATTTAAACTGCTTTGTTTTCATATTTATTTTAGATTTAAAATCTGAATTATAATATTTTAAAGAGCTATTATTGTTTTTATACAGCTTTATCATAAAAAAGTTTCTTAACTTGATACTTTTTACGCTACATAAAAATATTAAAAGTTTACATGCGTTTTTTGTGAGCATACAAACTATTCACTACAAGAAATAAATTCAAAAATTATAGTCGTAAATTATACTACATCTAAACTTAATAGTGGTATTTTAAAATCTTAATTCTGGTTTATTTTTCAGCATATATCTAAAATACAAGATTTAAAATAATGTATTAAGACATTTTTTTCAAAATCGAAAAAACTTACTTGTCTAATTTTTCCCAAAACGTCATAAGAACGGCTCTATCTAAATGTCGTTTATTTTGTGAAAGATTCAATATTGTAACAGCCCATTTTGCTACATTCTGATCCAATTTTTGTTCATTGAATCTTAAATGAAATGCACATACTAAATTTGGAAAAATGAGAAAATTAATGAAAATTTTTAATTTTAAATAAGAACAAGATACTTTTTGAAAAAATTTCCACTGGATTTCCATCCCACGGCCAACCTTTAAATTGCCATGCAGGGCCCATAACAAAAACAGCTACAACTCTTGTCCAATCTTGAGCTGATAATTTTTGTGGATTATCTATTACACGATACGGCACAGTAATGGCATTGTCTCTCCGACGCTAATAGTTTCATTTTCGTTACTAATATTTTTATAAAAAAAGACATGTTATTTAACTAACCTGTAACAAAACTTCATTATCTCTTGGGCAACCCTGACTTTTCTTTTCCTCTGTTGACACGAATTTTAATTCTTGTAATATATCTTTTGCATTATACATGGTTATTAAACTTGTTGTTGCCGATGGAATTATTATTATAGGAGTGCGTGAAGTTCTTTTGGGTGCATTTTGCGAAACGATTCGTGCTTGAGCGCTCGGCATTAATTCTTTTGGACGCCCTATAATTTTTATTTACAATATTCATTAGCAAGTTGAATTGCTTGACATTATGTTATCAAACAAAAAATACCTGGAGGAAGATTTGCTATTTGTTTCTTTTGCATGGATCCTTCAGTCACAGACTTTAAGGTCATACCGTGATATGTACCCATGGTATCAATTTTGAAACCCTCAGTTTCTTAAATATAAAAAAAAAAAACAAATTTAATATAGAAAATTTCTTTCGGTTCTTGTTCATTTGTGTAGGTACCTTCCTTTTGTCTATTGAATCTTTCCTGATCATAACGATTATATTGTGCCAGCTGCGGTAATGGTTTCATCATTCTTGATGGTTCAGGTAATCTAATTGGTTGAGGTTGAGGTTTGAGGCGACCTTCTTCTCTAGCTTTTATTCCTTGCAAAATAGCCAAAATATTTTTTGCAAAAAGCTAAAAATATAAATGAAAACATATTGGTACCTACTATTCGCAGTCAATATTAGCAAAATGCATTATAATTTCCAAACCTTTCCCGAACTTTGGAGAATAGTGGTCCTTGTGCGCCACTGCCTCTCTCTGCTAATAATATCTTTTGTCAAATCAACATCAAAATCAAGGATAACCCGAAGATCTGTTCCAATTGCATCATCGTTATCATGTCTCTTAATTGTAGTCCTTTTGTTAGCTAATCTTTTCGCTTTAATAGCGGCAATTTTTTCAACAGACATAGTTTCAGATAATGATTTAATATTATCAATATTGACCGAAGCTTCTTTCTTATTGACATCTAAACGAGCAGCAAGCTGTTCGCGAACCTTTTGCACCTGTGTATTTTCAAATCTAGCTTTTTTGGCTATAGAGTCTAAGGCAGATCCATCACTTTCTATTGGTCTTTTTACTTGAGTTGGTATCTCAAACGGAGCACTTTTGTCTATACTTGCACACGTTGATGTTTCTCCATTCAAATAAGCTAGAAGTTCTTTACGATCAGGACGATTCACAGCAGGAATATCTTCAGCAGCACATTGCCTGACGTATACCGAATGTTGCAAATGAATATTTTTTAAAAGGTACAGTAAACATTCTAATGTGTAATATTCCCTTGGGGCCCCTTTTTTGCCAGAGCTAAAATAAGATATTATTAATTAATTTCTTTAGTTTTAATAAATAGAATTAATATGTATAATAGTTTACCCATATTTTAGATAATTTGTTTTCACATTTTTTGGCCACGAAAATTCACCAAATATAATCTGATTCTCCCTTTCAACTATCTCTTTTTTATTGATATTGTACTGTCTTAACAAACTCAGTGGATCAGCCATTTTTGAAAAAACTTATTTACAAGCTTTTTACAAAAAAATATTAAATAAACAATTTTATTTTTATATTTTTAATTATATTTAAAAATATTTGACGCACAATCAAAATTGACAACAGAAGTCAAATTGTTTTTTGTCGTTTTGTGGTTGCCTTGGCATGTGAAATTGGTAGGATATTTTTATTTATATTTGACGTTTAAAAAAACGCTACCTAGGGTTTCAGAATGGTTCCTTTCCTGGCTAGAAAAAAAAATATGTTTTGATTTCAAATAGTTTTGACATCTTTTGCAAAATATTTAAAAAATTTAGTTTTAAATAATGAGTGTTATATGTTTTGTCTTACCTTGTATAAAAGTGTTATCTTATTTTATTTTATCTTACTGATCGTAACTGAGAAATCGGGTTAACATAAATAGTCGTCATCACATTTGTTTCAAGATCTTGCTTTTTTGCTTATATGTCCATAAACTAGAACTGTGTTATTATTACCACAAATATCCACTGAAATTTTATAAGTATTACGCTATTTCGTGAATTATTCTAAATTGTTCCTTAACAGAAATACGATAATAGCTGCTTTTAATAAAAATCAACTTAAAAAAATTTACATGACAATCCAAGCTTCTACGAGTATAAATCTCGACTGAAAAACTCGCATCGACATGCTTGTGTTGTGTATTCAATTTAAATAGTCACTCTTATCTGCTTTTTAATTATTATGAAAAATCATATTTCAAATATGTAATTTATGGCACTATTGTGAATAGATAGTAAATTATGGCACTATTGTGAATTTAACACTATTTTGAATAGATAGAATTGATATGTGTCAACATAATTTTCAAAAACATTTTTAACCTTTTAAAAAATTACCTACTTGACATATTACTTAGTGTCAAATGTGACAGCCGTACCCAAATTTTTTATTAGATAAGAAAATATATATATATTTTTTTTCTGCGTTAACGCCGTTAACAAGAATTGAAATAACTATTTTGATAAAATGATAGTGAAAAAATATTTAAATACTTTTGTCATTTAATGATAGTTGAGAAAAATTAATAATATACGCTACTAAAGTTCTATAAATTAAGTAAATTGTTTAAAAAATGGGCCAAACAACCGGAAAAATAATCGGTAAGTAGTTTAGTTCCAAAAAACAAAAAAAAATAAAGATAAATGATTTGTGTATCTATTCTATATCATACATATTTACATGCATACTATATTGTATATTAAAATGTGTATATTTATGTACTTGTGTACTACATATCCCAGATGATTTTAAAATATATTAACTGGAGCAAAAAGTCATAAAATTTTCAAATTAAAGATTACCAATAAAATTATGACCATAGTTCACGTTTTAAAAAATTCTCTACATTTAGGATAAAGGAATTATGGAGTATGTAGTAGGTGTTTGAATATATATTATGTACATACATACATATATATGTGTATATATAAGTACATGTAACTTCTCACTTGGATTCTTAATCGGATTTTTTTGTTTCAAGTCAGTTAGTATTGTAACAACCAATAATAATTGTGTTCAACGACTTAAATGTAAAAATATTGCAATAAATTTATTGTTTCTTTTCTAATATGAAATTAAATTTTGTTACATTGTCTATACTGTGTACATAATGGACATTGATACTTTACTTATATACTCGGTTACACTCAGTTCTAAACGTATGTATGTACATGCATGTTATATACGCTCAAGGCGGATGTATTTAGCGTTTCTTTAACTGTTTATTATATAAATAGGCTGGCCCAAAATTTTTAACTATTTAAATGGAAAGTATGCTATAAACCAACAAGTGCCTACTGCCTATACCGTATCATATTAACTTTTGATATAATTTCGATGAAAGGGGGGCATGTACATGTTTATGAAGTTTGGGAGATACTAACCGAATTACGTTTACATAATATAGTAAGAACATTACGTTTATCTAGAGTTTAGCTTCTTTTAATTCTTAAAATATTGGAAAATCTTTAAATCGTTAAAAATTATTAAATTGTATTCTTTTTCTTACGAAACTTAATAAATTCAGAAGCAAATATTAATAAATTGATTAACCAAAACTGAAATGCTGCAAATATGTGTTATTTAGGTATGTACTGCTTAAGTTTTTCATGATGAATTTAAGGATGAGTTTTTGGAAAATTCTATATTGCTTTAAATATATTTTTATTGAAATTAATAATACCTACTTTAATAAGTAATTACAAATGAAAAAATATCTGAAAGTTCTGATTCACTGGCTATAATTTTTAAAATCCTTGTGACGAATACTGAAAACATGGTAATAGTAGAAACTTGTAATAAAAGTATAACAATAATTGTTTATGCATTAAATTTATTTAAAGCTGTCCGGTATGATAAAACAAAATGTTTAAAAATTTTTATTTAATAGAACTTTATTGTATCCCTTCTAATTTAGTCAGAATATAAAAACTTATTAATTCTTTTTGTTTATTATTAGGATTAAAATTTTTTAATGTTAATAAAATTTTAGTTCACAAATGTGAGATACATGTGAAAATATATACATAGATACATAAATGTACAATCTATATTTGAAATATGAAATGATTGTCATAATTATTGTGATTTGTCTTCGGTTATTTTAATTGTATATTTGAAGTTTTATAAGAAAAAAGGTCTTTATATTTTTAACAAATCAAAAGTGTTTTCTGTCGCAATAAATCTTTATTTTTTTCTTCATTTTATTTTAATTTATTTTCTTTTTTATATTGTAGCAGTATTATGATGGGTAGTTTATTGTAAGAGAATGAATGAAGATATAGCGATTGAATGAGAAACAAAAAAAAAAAAAGGAATTCAAAATATTATGCGGCGCCTAAGATGATCATCACATCATCACCCAACAAAAAGCATATACTTATAATATATATAAGATAATGTTATATAAATTACAATTGATTTGATATTAGGAGATTTTCATGCTTCTTTTATTTAATTTATATTTATTTTTCTTTTGCACAGAAAATAAAAAGTAAACATTCAAGTATAACCACATAATCTACTATATTCGTGTTTATATACAATTTTATTCTCATGGGAAAATTGAAAATCAACAAAAAAACAAAAACACACAAATTGTTTTTGTTTGTACAATTTTATATAAAAGTTGTAACTATGGATGGATAAAGGAAACAATTTTATTAGAAAGACCATGTTTACCTGTAATTTCTATTTAGTGATTTTTCAGTATTTCTTTTTTTTGTTTTCAAAATTACGAATAAAATGTAAAATGAATGAATGAAGAAAAAATATTAAAATTTTGATCATGAATGGAATTCTAATTATTTACCTATGGCAAAAAAAAACAAAAACGAAGTCAATTTAGTTTTTAACTTTTCTTTCCGAATTAATAAAATTCAATGTAATAATAGAAGTGATGGAGGAGGGAGGAATGTCTTCTGTAAACTGTTAATAAAATAAAATGTTGCAAAATTATTTTGATTTCGTTTTTGTAGCTAGTTCAATTTTGATTGATTAATTGTACAATTCTATTAAACTTATAGTTTATTAAAATAAATAATTTCATGGATATTTTTATTTGTACCTATATGCGCACATACAAAATGTTATGGTTGATCATTTACTAATTTATTATTATTTACTATCATTTGAATTTCTTAAAATAGATGAATGGCTTATTTTGAAAGTGATCTAAGTCCATTTGAAATTTCAAAACCCTTTCATTTTCAAAGAAATGATATAAGGTCAATAGTTGGAATTGAAACTCATAATGTTGAAGTGCATATTATAAAGCAAATAATGAGTTAACAAGGATTCTACAAAGCAAATAATTAGTTAATCGAACTTTTGGTTATTTTAAATGCAAGTGGAGAAATATGTACTTCATTTTTAATTGAAATAGAGACACTTTCAAAATAAACCATGCAAATAGTAAGATATGTAAAATAAATTACATTTGGTTAATTAAACCCTATACAAATAAGTTGATTGGCGTAATGCAACTTTAAATTTTATATTTAAAAGCTTTACTATTTTATTATTAAAAATAACTTCTAATTAACAGGAGCTTTAAGATGTCATTAGTTTGTAAAATAGTACATATATGTATTCTCAAGAGTAGTAAGAGGCCATTACTGAACTCTTCTAATTTAAAAATTCTTGCAAAATTTGGAGATCTGCCTGTGTATGTGCGGGTTCTTGAACTAATAATAACTTAATATTATTGAACTTACTTTTTTCTATTATAAATGAATTTGCAAAAAAAAAACTTTCTCTGACATTTAATCAAGGGAACAATAGAGTGCAGTAGACCTAGTGACAAGATGTTTTTCTTTTTTAAATTTATGTGTGATAACTAAAATATTGCTTTAAAAATCAGACTTAATTTAAATAATAATTGTTTTTATTTTTCACTCAGGTACCATTTACAATACAACGTTGATGATTTAGTTTGCCCCCTACTAAACTAATAAACTATAAACTTATAAAAGAACTAATTATTTCTCAAACGTAGCACCATACTATTCTATTGTATATATACAATAATAGCTCTTATTCTATATCATTAATTTTCTTATTTAACATGAACAAATGGTGCAAATTTCTCAAAATAAATGTGAACCTGCTGGACATGATTATCATAACAGTATATTTACTAATTATTATTTTAGTTTTACAAATACTTAAAATTTTATATTTACAATTATTGAATAATTTGCTTAATTAATATAAATAAGTGTAATTAAATTCAATAAATATTTTATTATTAAATTATTATTGCTCCAATATCAATGGAGCTGCGACTATAGATGTATGTAATTAAAGAAAGAATAATAAATAAATTGGAAAAATTGCAAATTAATAATCAAATTAACAAAATACTAATTGTATATAGGTTTATAATTTTGCTATAATGCTGGTTTTTTATTATATATAAAATATACATATAATAATTTCCTTTATAACAAGACAAAATGAGAAAAGAAAAAAACATATGTCGGAGGTACTTGCAACATATTATTAGAAAATAAAATCGGCATTTCCTTTTGCATAACAAAAGGCCAAATTTTTTTAAAATATAATAATGAC